ATGAGTGGGCCTGCATAAGTTGCTGTTGCCGCAAAGGCAATGTAATTTCTTGAAAAGGTGTACGAAACTTTGTGTTTTGACAAAATGGGACGCTTTTAACAAATAAAAATAGCAACTCATGCCCTCTCGAGTGCGCTTAATCAGCTTTTTTGTAATTTTCAAACGCAAATAAAGGCGAGTTTATGGACTTCGCAATTTGACTTAAGAATTGCAGCGTCTCTTGCGGAAAATAAGCGATCGAGTTTATTTCGTGCATATAGTAGTCATGTAAGATTTAGGCTTACGGGACGAAGGCATGCTAAGGGGGCCGAAAAGATAAGAGACTAAAGTGATGAAGTATGTGCATGGTTAGAAAAAAACTAAATTGGCTGGAAAGAGGGGCTTCGGTCCAAAGCACGAACTACTGTTAATAAAAATTATGTACAATGTGTGCGCAAAGACGCTCGGAAATATGGCCTTGGTAGTGCATGCTTATGCAATAAATGATTTGAATGGAAATGCGCGGGTTGTGACTGCGTTTCAGGATAAACAAACGTACCTTTAAACATGCGAAAATTCTCATCAGAGAATTCAAAATTGTAGTTGGCCAGTGAACGTAAACTTTGGATAAATTCTGGTCGTCCAAATACCCATTTTCCATCGTGGCTTTTAAGGAGACGTGAAAATTATCTGAATAACAATTAAACGCTTTTTGATTGTGATTACTAATTTTTTTTGTTCAAAAGTTACATGATATCTGACTTGGTTTACTAATTTTAATTTACCATTAACGGTCGACTCTTCGTCTTCAGATCTAGCTAGCAACAATAAAACTGACATTCGGGAACGTAAAGAGGACAAAAGCAATGCCCATTTTAGTTGCAGCACACTTTTATCCTTCGAAGACCTCGGGGTTTGCAGAAACGCGTCATCTTCGGTTTTAACTTCGTCGTCCAAAGTTGACAATCATTCAACGAATGTCGAAAATCCTGCTATAAAAGGAAGAAATTCCGCGTATCATCGAATTCAGGTGTCACCGACATACATGTACGCACTTGAATGTTTGTTAAAATGTCTCGTTAATTGACGATTTTTCAGAAAGGCATTTTGTGCAGAATACAGTCATCTAAATTTTTCCCTGACTTCTTTATATGAAACATGACTTTTTCATATAAGAACAACCAGCGAAGTAAGATTGACTGCATTTAAAAGAGGTTCCCATTGATTTAACCAAATGCGATGTTAAATCTTTAGGCGTATGGACAAAACGGAAAGTAACCTTATGCCGTTACCTCCGGGCCCACAGTCTCCACCCATCGGCATCGCGGATCTATTCAAAGACAAGGAGAGAACTTACAATTTAACTGATATAAAAG